ACGAGCCTTCTCCATCTTTGCTAAAAGATGGAAGCGACTCTTTGTTGGTTGGATTTGCCTCTCCATTTAATACCATTTGGGACACTGAAGAGCAGCGACTGTCAAATGTCGTGCCCAAGTTCAAGAAGGGTCAATGTACTTTGTGCGATAATCATCAAGGCATTAGCCTTGTTTCCACTGCCTCTAAAATTCTCACGGGTATCATTCTCCGACGACTCACTGGTTTCGTGAGAACCGGAACAGTGAAAGCCACTCTGGCTTCCGCCCTGGTCGTGGTTGCATCGGCCACATATTTACTATTCGACAAGGTTTGGAGCAGACACACATACAGACGACAGACTATGGTGGTTTTCAGTTAGTTGAAATCCGCCTTCGACTCTGTTGACCGCGCCAACTTGTGGCACTGCCTATCCATGAATGGCGTGCCAGCTAGATTCCTTTCCATTATACAGTCGCTCTACAGTGCTTCCCGAGACCGTGTAAGGGTCTAAGGAAACTATTTCCTGAGTTCCCCAAGACAATTGGGATTCGACAGGGTTGTTTCCGGCGCTCTTCGACTTTGTTATCGAAACGGTTATGAATAACTCAGAGTGGAGGTCCTCTCAGGTGACCGACTGACAAACCTGGAGTACGCGGACGACATAGCTCAATGTGGATTGCACGCTTCGGCATGTGCTTTGCACCTTCAAAGTGCAAATCGCTGCTAGAGCACTGAACAGACACACCAGTTCTAGCTATCATGGAACAGCCAATGGCAGTGGTGGATCGGTTCACTTACTTGGTAACTGTGTCACTTCTGGTGGTCAGATCACTGAGGTTACTTCGTGTATCAGCAACGCACGTGTAGCATTCCAGAGGTTCAAGCATCGGTGGGGGCGGCGGGATATCAGCCTGTCAGTGAAAGATAGAGTGTGTAACGCTGCAATGAGGCCAGTATTACTGTATGGATCAGAGAACTGACTAGTTCGCAGTGAAGACATTAAACGCTTGGCCGTGTTTGGCCACCGGTACTTTTGGAGTATTGCTCAAGTGTGGTAGGAACACAGGGTAAGCAATGCTGAGGTCCGTTAGTTGGTTTTAGGCAAGAAGCCTACTTATACCTCTCTCGAGTGCTTGTTGAATATTTATCACTTAAGTTGAATAGGCCGTCCTCTGTGTGCCCGTTGATCCGCTTCCTCGGCGTGTATTATACGCTGCGGCTGCACCAAGTTGGGCGAAACCACGAAATGGCCACTCAGTGAGATGGTATAAAGGCCTGAAGACTGACTGAGAGACTTAGTCAAATTGCTGCATGGCATCTTTGTGGATGGGGGTCTCGGGATGGCCCACACCAATGGGTGGAGACCGTATCAGACAAGTCGCAATCAGACAGTCTGTGGGGTTCCTGCATTCTGTTTCTTACACCTGGTCGTTAATTTTCGCTCCATTCTCAGTCGTGTAACACACTTCCATTTTGTTTCTATTATCTTAACATTATATGTATATTATTCCCCATTATTTTGCCGTTGTTATTTATTGTTATTTTTGTAATGTGAGTCGTGGCATCTGGATAGACCGTTCTTCGGTGCCCGGATCATAGTTGCCCAACTAAATTGAAGTAGACGGAATATATATATATATATATATATATATATATATATATATATATATATATATATATATATCGGGTTGCCCCATAATTTCTTTCGCACTTTTATTATTTTCAGAATTTTCCTATTTCAAATCGGGTTATTGCCAAAAGGCTGTGGCATGTTGGAGAATGTTCTAAAAGCTTTAGCCGCAAGGTATATGAGGGCACGCGCGCCGCGGGTCAATACACTGAGAAGCAAAATGGATCAGCGCCAGGTATACTCGAGTTTGCTTTATGAATATAAGTTGGAGATCAGTGTAAGGAAGACGGCCGAAAAAATAAACACTACGTTTGGGCCAGGCACCACCACCGATCAGACTGTGAGTCACTGGTTCAATCGTTTTGACGAAGGCGATACGAGCTGTAAAAGTCAACCTCATTTTGGCCGGTCAGTCACCTTTGATGAAGAAGCGCTGCGCCACGAGCTGGAAGTGCATCCGGATGCTAATACCAGGGATTTGGAGCAGACACTTAAATACGGTCGCAGCACCATCGTTTGCCATCTAAATGAAATGGGCTACCGCAAATTGATGTCTCGATGGACACCCCATCCACTGACCGACCACGAGAGCTCTGCACACGTGACCAACTGCGAGTCTTCTGCTGCGACCTCACAGGCAGTACCTCCTCAAGTCGATCATCACTAGAGATGAGTCCCGGGTCTATTACGAGAAGGACACGCGGCAAGCCTACTGGCTGGCTCGCGGCGAAGACCCACCAGCTCAAGAAAAGCCCTAGTTCCATGCTCAGAAAATTATACTCTCGGTTTGCTGGGATTGGCAGAGCATGCTGTTTTGAGAACTGCTCAACAACATGCAGACAACCAATGCCGACGTCTACGGAGAGCAACTGCGGAAGTTAGCTGCAGTAGTGCGAGAGAAGTGTCCGAAAAACTCAGTGTCGCCATTCCCCAGGATAACGCTCGACCTCACATTGAAAAATCGACTTGCTACATTTTGGAAAAGCTAAGCTGGACCACGGTACCACATCCGCCGTATAGTCCTGATATTGCTCCAGCGGATTATCATCTCTTCCGCGCCCTGTAGTAGTATCTGCGAGAGAAAAAATTCAGACTACAATCAGCTAAAAAGTGACCTCGCCGAGTTCTTTGATCGGCAGCCTCAATCTTTCTAGGAGAAGGACATCCAATCTTTGTCTAGTAAATGGTTACACATCATTGATCATGATGGGGATTATATTGTTGGTTAATTGATTCCTTTAAATAAGTAACAATAGGATTAACAAAAGTGCAGAGATGTGAAAGAAATTATGGGACAACCCAATATACATGCAAGTATGTGCAATTTAGCTCGGTCTAGTGCCTCTGTACCCCCTATCACGCACACACACTGAGATCCGGACAAGTCATCAATCGTGATTCACGGACAACGACAACACGCTGAGCTCGCTGCATCAATACTACCGGTCCGATCCACGCTTTGATATTCCACCCACATACAAAGAGTATTTAAGGCTGCCTGCAACACTACATGACTTCCTGGTGTTCAGGTAGAGATGGACGCAGTAAACAACAACTATGTTTCGAGTCTAAATACTTAACACCGCTGCATCGCTTTGGGTTGCGACACGCAAGGCAAGCACATAGCGGATTCTCCAAGTCCAACTTTGAATTCATTGCCGCTGTATCAAACGTTGCTCACGGATCGCAGTGGAATAGTGTTTATGGTCTCATCCTTGAACCACTGGGCTGAGTTCCATCCCAGCTTAGGCTATCTCCACCTGATGAGTCCAAACCAGGACGACATCGCGGTCGTGAGGTGCCAGTGTTGGGAGGAGCAACATAAAAATATATATATATTTGCTCGGTTTTGCTACTCTGCTGCATAATCCGTGTCAAATATTGCGTGTTTATTTTCCTTCAAATTATGTGTTGGTTGTTTGATATCCCCGCAGTGGCTGCGCTTGATGTGCATGTTGACAAGGTGCCTACCTGTCCATTACCAACTTCCTCACCCATACTGGCTCCCGGAGACAGTTGGTTGTTGCTGGAGGGGACGGGGTGCACTGTCCTCGTGGCCGAGCTAGGATCGAAGTGTGGTTCCATGCACTCAGTGTGGAGCGGACTACGGTCCAGCCACCGCGTTGTGGGCGCTTGATTTCCCAAATACAGCCTGCTTGTGTTTGCGTGTGAAGGAGTGTGGGCCGGCTCCGCTGATGCAACGTGGCTCCCATCCACATGGCTCCCGGTCTTATTTCATCGGGTATACACCGGATATGGGGTGTGTGGGTGAAACTGTGTTGTACAGCGCAAGCCACCCATGTTCCCTCTGTAGGCGCAGGCGTTCTGTGGCTGTCCCGGTGGAGGCCGCAGTGACAGGCAAATCAGGAAACGGATACCGCCAACCTATGTACACAAGGATTGATACAGTGATAATTAATGGTGAGTGTAGTTATGGAAGTAGAGTCTTAAAACATGTTCGACATTGTGCACGGTTCCTTGCCATGCCCGAGTGTTTCCAGCCAAGTGTGTTCGTGATCCTTGTGTCTCAAGCCAGGGAGCTGGCAGCGCGCGACCGCGGCCAAATATGAGGTTAGCGCATTTACTACTGAGCAACATATAGGCTATGCACACAAGCCTAGTGGTAAGTTATCTCTGTAAGCTTAAAAGTACTGTTGTAGAACCACTTCACGATTTGCACTACATTGAGTTTTACTCCTTTTGACCTAGAAACCAAGTCGTGTATGAAGACAGGCTTCTAAAGTGCACCGTCTCTTTTAGTGGCATTTACAGCCGGTAACTGTACAATCGGCTACGGTTCGAACTGAAGGCTACCCCGGGTATCTTACAAAAACTGGTAGATACGATGGTGGCGGACATATCAACGGCTTGTGCGGATGATATCATCGTCGCATCATCAGAGGGAAATTATCATAGCTACCGTCTCCACCAGATATCCGAACGCATGCAAGAATACAGGTTACCTCTTATAACAAGTAATGTAGAGACGATGTCATTCATTAATGTTTCAACTGAAACACTTCGAATGTATTGTCGATCGTGACAGACCAAGACCTAGCATTGAAAAATGCGCATCATAGGAGAAATATCTGCATCACACCATATACCTGCCCTGCAATCGTTCCTCGGCATGGTGAATTATTACAGTGCATATATACCAAATATGCATCGACTTCGCGTGCCAATGAATGAGTTGCTGGGTAAAAATCGACCCTGGTTTTGGCAATTCCAGTATGAGGAAGCGTCAAAACTCATTAAGAAAGCTCTTACATGAGTTAGTGCCGGTATATTATGACGCAAAAGGAAATAGTAACGTCTCCGCAGATGCTTCTAGCTAAAACGTTGGAGCGGTTCTCCGTCAGCGGTCATCATCATAATTATCATTACACGTTAGCTGAAGGCGAGAAACACAGTGTAGCTATTGTGAAGCAATACAAAAAGATAAAGTATTTGAAAAACGAGATCGGAAAAATAGAGTACATAAAACAGGTAACAAAATACCTAGTTACATATTATGCTTCAAGACAGAGATCCTGGTTGGAGGGGGAAGATAAGCGGGATGGGAAGGGACAAAGAAATGCACAACACAAACAACATTAAGGTAGGCTCCTTGTCATGTCAACTAGTATTTCCAACCAGATGTGTCCATCGACCTCCGGTCCCCAGCCCGGCAGTCGAGAGACATCAACCGACGCTAAGTTTGAAGTGATGGCCTTTGTTCCTCTTGATCAAGTCATCGCTTGGCTTCCTCTCCTCCTCTTTCATCCACACACCTGGCACACGAACAACGTAGGTTGCGGGAGTCGGTGTGCTGGTATGCGCAACATATAGTCCAGCCATCGGATCCTGGTGCGTGATATAACGGTGCTGAGCGTTCACTTGCTTCTCATGCACCAAATGCGAGACGCCGAACACGCTCATGCGTCACGCAGTGCTCTCGCCAGACGAGCTAAGCTGCGAAGGTAGCGATGGTCTGAATTAACTAGCATCTTTATGTCTGTCGAATTGATGGACCAAGTTTCGCAAACGTACAAGAGCGCTGAACGGACGGCCGCATTATAAACTCTGCCATACAGGGCGAGAGCGATGTCGCCCCGGCACCACAGGTGGTTGATATTGGCAAAAGCACCTCGAGCTTTTGCTATACGGTTCGTAACCTCATCTTCGATTCTACGGGCGCTAATACAGCTGTCCAGATACTTGAATTCTTGAACGACTTCTAGCTGATCGCCACAAAGGGTCAGTGCAGGGGTGGGTCTCTGCCAATCTTGGATAAGGACTTTGCATTCCGATGCATCAAAGCATAGCTCGAAACGATTGACAACCAGTGCTAAGTTGTGCAGCGCTGCTTCTCACGTTTGGGAGCTATCACAGACAAGGGTAATGTCGTTGGCATACTCCAAATCAAGGAGTCGATCAACCTGGGAGCAAATCGTGCTCAGCAGGCGTAGTCTGCATGACCTAGCCGATGGTGAAGTTAAAAAGGAGAGGTGGCAGCGAGCAACTGTGTATCACACTGCTAGAGATGTTACAGGGTGGCGACGGTTTGCCATAAGCCCGCACTCTGCTAGAACTATGCGCGTACAGCGCTCCTATGACATTTACATGTTGATCAGGCACATCGATCTACCGAATCGAAGGCGCCTTTGATATTAAGGAACCGCCAATAAATGTGGCGATGTTCCTACTATTGGTGTAATGTGAAAAGGCGGTCGATACAGCCTCGAGTTCGGCGAAACACGGCATTATTCTCGCAGATCTAACTTTCACGGGTGCCAGTCAATCTACGGAGAACAAGAGGCAAATTACTTAGAGATAATTGTGAACAGAGTGATTCCGCAATGAGCGCCGCATTCCGAATGTGGGCATCAGCAGGACGTCGGTACTGCGTACCGACGCTTCGCTGCCGCGCAACCAACACCAGTCATACATGGACTAAGGATACTGCGAGGGTGGCGCAGTCCCTATGCAGGCTCGAACCCGCATCCTCAGATTACAAGGTAGGCCTGTGATCCTTAAGGCTACGATAATTTCTTGAATATTGGGTCTATAACGGAGCGGTCCCGTTCGGTTGGAAAAGTCTCCTGCACTCACCCCTTCACTACTATGTGTTGCTCCAATGTGGTCCATGTGTATGAAGGCGCTGGTCATGTGACGCAGCCTGTCTGACACACCATATTATCATATACTGGCTACTGTCTTGCTTGTGGTATGTGACGTTTGGTCAATACACCGTCCGATGCGGTTATGTGTTTGTCTTGACCGCCCCATCAACCGCGGAAGGTGGATGTTAGCAAAGCACATGAGTTGTCACGTAGTGTCCTGAGGAAAACTCGACTGAGGTCAGTGTGGACTGGGGCTGCAGATACAGCAGTGGTACGAGGAGAGCCTGGTTGGTTCACCGCGGCTTGACATCGTAAACACAACAGTGGCCTGAGGAGAGCTCAGATGGTTCACTTCGGAGCTATGCAATCTTCGTTGCAGAAACACACTGTCGGATTGCACGCAAATTCAGATGTGTGTCTGCCCGAAGGGTGCATACCAAGAAGGGTTTTCGTTGAGCTAAAGTAAAAGTAGTCCTTGCGGACATCTGAACAGATGTTCGTCTAGGCGGGAGTACTTGAGTATGTATCTTAATGGTGCCGCGGTTGCATTGCAACAAGACAAAGCACTCGATATTACTACCGTTTCTCAAATAACTTGATAGATCACCAATCTAACAGAACTGATTGCACAATACATATCCGGTGAACTGATGGTGCTAGATGGAGGAATCGAATATGAAAGCAAACTCAATGTACATTTTCGGAAACAGTTTACGTCACTTCCTGTGCTGATAGTGACTTTTTGGGAATGTATTGGATCAAGAAGCAAAATTTACCTAAAATTACACTCAACTGAGTACACACCAAAGAGTATATTGCTGTTCACCATACAGCTGTGCCAACACATAGATTCACGCAAAAAACAATAGCGTTTTCAGATCCGAAATTATGCACTGCACAAAATGGCGGATAGTAATGACGCTGCTTCGAGGCTAGATCAGCACTTCGACTTAGACGCCCGGTCCAGTACGCGTTGCATTCACATTAAACAGGAATCTGATCGACTTCAGCAAGCCGGAGTGCTCGAAAGAATTCCTTTTCCACTATGGACTGCTCCCATTTTATGATGAATGGTACTTTCGCTGTGTGTAGATTTTTCAACCACAGTGAATGCTGCTATAGAGCGTCATCAATGCTTACTTCCACTTCCCAAAGACCTATTTGTGAAGTTGGATGGAAGTGAATACTATCCACCCTTGAGGTTGTTGATGCGCATTTACAATTGGAAGTTGAACCTGAAAGTAGGAAGCGACCTACGATTAACACACATCGCAGTCTCGATCAATACAACCGCATGCTGTTGGGAGTAAAAACAGCACCTGAAAATTCTCTACAGGTGATTGCTACTGTGTTGACTAGTACACATGCAGTGACAGCTTGGCTGGACGAATTACTTCGGCGACTTGATGAGCTGCTGCAACCAAAGATTACGGCTTTCACTTGCGTTGATATGAGTAAGTTTTCATGAAATTCACCAATTTCTTGCGATTTTCTATTGATCAGCGCAAAATATTCAGAAAACATTGAAGCGATAGATCGACTGCATGCGCCAACGGATATCACAACACCAAGACCTTCCCTGGGAACAGTGAATAAGTACAGTGCATTTTTGCCACGCATGAAACGTTCACGGCACGCACTGAAGGATGCGGCTAGGATCATGTCAGTAAGCGTTCGGTAAATCGCAATACAAAAGCCAGGGCTGTTTTCGACTCATCACAACCCGAAAATGGAAACAATCGTGACTACTGATGCATCTAATTAGAAAATTCTAAACACAGGCCCTCCTGCGGTCCGGAAAGGGCTTCGGCGTACGCTGCGCGAACTCTTACTGCATCTGAAAAGAGGTATAGCCCAATTGAGAAGGAAGCTATATGGCGGCCGCAACACACAAATGCGGTGACAAGATTTCGAGACGCGAAGTGGGTCTGCGGTAGGCTGCGCGCAAACCTGACTAACTCAGTTTGCCATCCACGACAGGTTGTTATGCAATCCAGGGCAGCTGACGAAGTCAGTTCATCATCATGGCACGGGTTGCTACGGCGCAAGCGTGAGCGGGACTGCAGCCAAAGAGTGGAGGCTGCAAGCAGGTTTGGAGGTGTCTTGAAATGGTGTCGGCCAAGTGATCCCATAGTGCCTTTAAATTCCTCCATACGCCTCTCAAAATGGTCCAAAGAGCGCGAACCCTCCTAGAATATATATACTGTTCGCTGAGTGACGAATCTCAAATAAGTAGATAGTATAAAAGATGAGTGCACAGAGTGGGATGCCTTTGACTGACTTGGTCACTCAATGAACCGTAGCACTTGGGTGTTTACGCCCGTTGGATGCAATCGGAAAGTATTAAGGGCCATCGTTAGAGATCTATGGAGGAGACATTTGAGAGCGCTATGGATGCGATTGGTTGAGAAAAGGTATAGACAGGTGAAGTCAATCAGCCCAGCAACGTACAATCGGAGGTGAGGACATGCGACCTGTGAAGTTAACCATATTCTGTACTTAGTACATAGCGGTCTGGCGAATCGGGTGTTGTGTATTCCCACGGCTGGGTTGGACGGCGAGTAGAGAGACAAGGCATCCCTATAACAGAAGCACTGACATTGTCTTTGCTGTTCAGAAATTTCACAAGAGGCTTTATGGGTCACGTTTCACACTCATGGTAGATTGTAAGTCGCTTATTAAAACCTTTAGATCAAAAAAGGCGTTGCAGCTTACATAAGCTATAACTTCAACGACGGGGACTTTACTTTTGTGATGATACCAACGGATTCGGCGGGTCAGGCAGACGAACTAATCGGACTAATTGATAATGACAGACCTGAACCAGGAAACGCAGTAATTGTAGCAGTTCCAGGTATAAGTCCCATGGTGCATAATGCCGTGAGCACCTAGTGGGTCCAGCAAGCCATCAAACATGGCACGCTGCTAAAAGAAGCCTTGTCCCATACAAAACAAGATTGCCCAAAGTTTTCAAAAGAACTTGATCAGTTTTACTTGTGGCGCAATTCCTGGTCAGTAGTAGACTTCCGTCTGTTCGTCGCTGATCGCATCGTCATATCAGAAGTCCTGTGGCAACGTGTCTTAGGACAACCCCAAAAAGGGCATTTAGGAATTGTCCGAATGAAGGTATTTTCTTTGAGCTGTCTTCTTGCCTGAGCTAGAGAATATTGGATGGACCGTGTGCTCACAACCTGCCTGCGCGCACGACATTAGTCCTGAATCATACCAGAATCCCCATGTTCACGAATTCAGTTGGACTGTGAGGGTTCAGCTGCTAAAGTTGCGCTTCTTATACTTGTCGACGTCGATAGCAAGAGGCCAGAAGTAGCCGTGATGCAGAATACGCCGGCGACCAGTTCAGTACACGAGTTGACACGTGTTTGTAGCCGGTGCGGGGTAACCAGAAACTAATATGTCGGATAACGGATCACAACTCACTTCTAATCCATTTGCCGAATTAATTTGTACACAACAGAATCAAACTGCGCAGTATCACCTTCAGTCGGATGGGTAAACCAGATAAAACGAACACGTTTGTGATCGAAAGAGAAAGGAACACTGGAAGAAAACCAAGAAACATTCCCAATGAACTAGTGAGTTACTCCGAATACAAAGCTGTATATGGAAAGTCGTCCGTTCAAATATTTGTGACAGTTGTCAAATCGCTCCCTTGCTCTCATCCATGTGGGTTTTTGCGATGGATCCAGGGAACTGTGTGCGTTATATATGTGAGTCATGAGATTAAGCGGCTGGCCAAGGCCAGATAATATGACGTCGTCTGAGTCTCTTTGTGCGTCCTGGCACAGCATAATCAGGACTAGTTAACTCAGTGCATTGCACGTGACATGTGACCACTTCTGCGTCCGCTTGTTTGCTGCGCTCCGAATGTACTTACACTATCGATTTCACCAGAAAGCGATCAGGCCTCGAGTTCGCCCTTACAGTACTTGCAACCTGTGCTGTGCCAATTTGTCTTAATGCGCTTTTTAAATGACCTTTGTTCCAAGGTGTCATTTTGGTAACCCTATTGGCGATTTAGAGTAGTTGCTTTGCTCGTGGATCACAGGTATACTTTGAAGCGAACGCACTATCTTTTGTTGTTTGCATCCGACTGATTCACAACTTGCTCGATCCTTATTTACCTTATTCGGTTGTGAGCAGTGTTCTTGTTGCTCACAAGAAGTACAAACAGCGGCGTTTTTCTATGAAATACTCATAATCTCGTTCCTACTCGTTCGTTGGTGGGTGGAAGTAGTTTCGGGGTCGACGCAACTCTAGCATGGAGGGCGAGACGCACCAAGTGATTTGAGTGACTTGACATACTCAGGCGGTAGATCAGGAAGGGACGGACAAGATCACAGCAAACGATGAATCACGACAACAACAGAAGCAGATTTCGGTAGCGTGAAAACCAATGCACCACCGGTACCATATAGCTGGCAGGTCGCGGATGCGCAGTGTGCGTACTTTCGATTCACATAAGGATTAAAATTGGTAAACGGATGTCTGTCATTGAAGGTAAGGTAACATCGGTACAGTTGCACGTTTACCGAAGCCTCGCTGTTGTACAAACGCAGGTTTTCTCATACCATCAGAAGAGTTAATGAGCCATGCTATAGCATAACTAGTAGCAGCATAGTCATGTCGGTCGATCGTGGCCTTCCCCCATGGCGCGGTGGTAGTCTTAACGACTGACTTGTAAGAGTAGTGTCGCGAATGACGATCCCACGTGGTGAAGATGGAACGCCCTCTAGTGATTAGTTTCGAAGAAGAAAAACGGCGGTCTAGTGAGCTCTGAGATGTGTGACGGCAACCTAAGAGAGCTTGTTCATAATGGATTCAAACAGCATCTATGGAAACGAGCTAATTCATCATGCCTCTGAGCCAAACAATATCTTGTGCGGTTTAAGAGAGAAGGATGCACATATATAATAACGCACTTGATAACTTGCGCCACAGTGTTTGGTCCGAACCAACTTCCAATCGGTTTGTCCACCGCCAGACCAAGTGTAGCTAACCGCCGTGGAGACAAAAGGGAGAAACGTTAAGGAGAGAGTGAACAAAAGACAGATTTGAGCGCAGAAGAAAACCAAGTGCCTGCTTTATACAGAGTGATTTACCGGATAAATGCGGTAAAAGGGAGAATGGAGACTAGTACGAAGGGAAAGATGTGCTACATGCAAAATGTCCACAAGTCAGTCAAAAAATGCCTCAAACGCGATGAAGTTAACGAAGATAACCACAGCCAGCGTAAGCAAGGTGTCCACGCTAACAGATCATTCAGATAGGCAGAACAAAGCAAATACAGTGAAAGAAATTTATTCAGTTAAAAAAACTAAGTTTAAGTGTCAGTTGGTTTGGACCAACTGCAGTGAAGATGCAAAATGAATGCAACATCAAAATATGGTTGGCGGCATCCGGTTTCAGATTTGCCTGTCACTGTGGCAAGCCACAGGACGCCTGCGCCTACAGAGGGACCATGGATGGCTTGCGCTGCACCACCCACAGCTCCATCCACACACCCCATATACAGTGTAAACCCGAAGGAATAAGACCGGCAGGCATGTGGATGGGAGCCACCTTTCATCAACGGAGCCGGCCCACACTCCTTCACACGCAAACACAAGCACCCTGTATTTGGGTATCAAGCGCACACAAGGCGGTGGCTGGACCGTAGTCCGCTACACACTGAGTACTTGGAACCACTCTGATCCTAACACGGCCACAAGGACCGTGCACCCTGTCCCCTCCAGCAACGACCAACTGTCTCGAAGAGCCAATATGGACGAGGTAGTGGGTAATAGACAGATTGGCACCTTGTCAACATGCAAATCAAGCGCAGCCACACCGGGGATATCAAACAACAGCCAATTACTTGATAGAAAGATAATAAAGAAAATAAGTCGAGTACTCCAAAAGGAAACGGTGACATAACTCTTAACTTAATGTGCGTAAGAAATAAGTTGTTTACAAAAGTATCCGAGATAATTTCGCGAGGTCAGAAAGTATACTTTACCGAAATGCCACAAACACGAGCATGTTATCGAAATTAACTACAACCGGCTTAAGCGACGTGTGCAAGTGTACAGAAGAGAGCACAGGTAGGCATCTGTATGAGAAAGAAAAGCAATAGGACAATAAAGCAAACCCACCACCTAAAATAAATAGACTTGGCATACAAACACGCCGTTAGTAAATCGAATGAAGGGTACCTACAAACGCTGCATCGGTTCTGTCGACGTTCTCTGCAGGACCCATCATCGTTTCGGTAGTGGTCCCGAGTGGCCTCGCTCATGGCTCACTAGGCCTGCCTGACTCAGGCACTCGCAACCGCATGTGCTACAGCACCATGCGCTCGACATAGATGCAGTACAACCCGTCAGCTCTTGCCGCTTCTTATCTGCATGCATGAGATCTTACTCCCGCACTTCGGCAACTGCCTACGTGATCAAATCCCGCCATGCACGCCGATCAACCGTCTTCGATTCCCATGACCTGCAATCAAGATTAGAACGTGAAAGGCTCACTTTGATCATGTCCTGGTAACGTAACTTTGGTTTCCCCATATGCCGCTTCCCAATACTCAGCTGACCACATAAGAGTTGTTTCGGTATCCGCGTCGAATCCAAACGACTCACATGACCGAGCCACCTCAGGTGTCTCAGCAAGAGTATGCAGTCCACTGCATACATTCCACTTTGTCGCAACACTTCCGTGTCAGCAACTCTGTCGCCCCAAGTGATATGCAAAATTCGTCGCAAACACTGCTGATGGAACCGCTCGAGATATCGCACATCCCGCCGGCACATCCTCCACGTTTCACGGCCGTATAGAAGAACGGACAGCACCATGGATTTGTACACAATCAGCTTCGTGCCAATTGTAAGCTGATGGTTTGTTCCACACTCCGTACTCAAGCTTCCCGAATGTCGCCAATGCCTTCGACACGCGGATACGCAGCCCACCGTATATCCGCTGACCAGTCGACATCACACTCCTAAGGTAGCAAAAGCGGGAGGTGGTTTCCAATACTTCAGCATTAATGCTGATTCGCTGCAATTTTGAAGATTGCACCTCCGGTGAAGGCTGAAAGAGACAGACAGTTTTGCTTGTGTTGATGGTGAGCCCGAATTTAGTTGCTGTCGAAGCCAGAGCACTAGTCATATGCTGCAACTCATCCGCGCTGTGTGCAAACAATGCACAGTCGTCAGAAAAGAGCAACATACGGATAGTTGTCTCACAGACTAGAGTTCTCGCACCGAAACGACGGATGATCAGCAACTCAACATCAATACGGTGCTCCACACGAACACCGTAAGCACAAGCCGCATCAAAAGCACAAGACATCATTGCATGAAGATATATATATAAACAGAGCAGGAGCTAAGACACAGCCTTCTTTCACACCAGCAGCAACTCCAAAGTCATCCGAAGTCTCTCTACTCAGCTGCACCTTCGTTCGCATACCACTGTGCAGATATTCAATTAAACTTACAAACTTACGCGGGCAACCAAACTTACCCAACACCAGTCACAATGCCTCGCGGTTCACCGTATCAAATGCTTTGGTGAAATCAACAAAAAGCGAGTACAACGGATAGTGTCGTTCTCTACACTGCTCCTGCAACCGTCCACCCCCAAACACCATATCGATAGTGCTGCGACCCGAACGGAATCCACACTGCTCTTCCGCCACGTTCGGTTCCACAACCTGACCGACGAGGCGGTTGACCAGGATCCGGGCAAACACCTTGCCCACACAACTCAGCAAGTTGATAATTCATGCAACATTGCTTGCTACCTTTGCCCTTGTACAGTGGTAGCACATGCGCAGGGAGCACCTCCTCCTCAATCCACACGCGTTGCACCAAGTGGTGCAGCGCAGTCAACCACGCGAGTCCCGTGTTTCAATACTTCAGGTGGGATCCCATCGGCACCGGCACACTTGCCGTTTCGTAGCTGAGCAAGTGCTCTCTGCGTCTCATCCAAATTCGGCGTGTCTGCTAGACCCGCCTTCACATTGTACTGCTTCAGGCCGTTCAATGTAGGCCAGTCGATCTCTGAACGGTTGTTCAAGATAAAAAGTGTTTCCGCCAGATCTGCATTATGTCGGCAGGTAGCGCCTGAACTACCATCGATCAGCGTCTTCAGCGGCTCCAACCTCGGTTCATACACCGCCTTCAAGGAATTAAAGAATTCCTTGTGTTGGCGGCGTTCGGCGTAGCATTCCATCTGCTTCGCCTTCTCCGTCCACCATGCATTTTCAATGCGATGGAACTCTCGAGTCAGTCGCCGTCGAATTCTGACAAGCTTTCTTCCTTCCCCAAGTCACTGGGGTCTGCCACATGTGCAGCAAATGCTGCATTCTTCTCACACACCAATGCGCCAATCGTCGCATTGTTCTCATCAAACCAATCAGGCCGCTTATAGTTTGTGCGCCCGATGGTCGCCTCGGCAGCAGCTGTCACCAGGTCGCGAATGTGATGCCACAGGTCGCCCACTGTGGCTATGCATTCTACATCACACAGGCGTGCAGCCATCGCCTTCTCCAGCTCAATAAGTTTCGCCACAGTACCGAGGGAGAAAAGGTTAAATTTATGCCGATTCATGGCGGGAGTACAATACATAGATTTACGAAAATATATGTACAGGTTGGTCCGCACCAACTTGTGATCAGTGCCACACTCAGCTCCACGCACTACACGTGTCATGCGCACTTCACGCATATCACGCTGACGTACGATGACGTAGTCGAGCAAGTGAGCGCGACCACTCCGTGGGTGCGTCCAAGTTGCTGTATCACTCGCACTCAGTGCAAATCGAGTGTTCGTGATCGTCAGGCCGTGAGTGGCACACAGTGATAGCAGCCTGTCACCGTTCACATTCTCTAAACGAATGTCATGCGGACCGATGACATCTGTCCACACCGATGCATTACGCCCAACGTGCGCGCTGAAATCACCCAGCAGAAATAGTCAATTACTCCTCGGCACAGACCGTATCACGGAGGATAGCTCAGTGTAAAATTGATCACGCGTGTCATCAGGATAACACATGGTCGGACCATACGTGCTTATAAAAGTAGCAAACTTACCTCTTCCGAGTCGTAGGCGAACAGTCATCAGTCGCGCGCTGATGCCTGTTGGTTCACCCACGAGCTGGCCGTGGAGGCCATCAGACATTGCAAATCCGACACCATGATCAGGTGGTGTTGAGGCGGCGTTGCTCACCCAGTAGAATGTGTAGCCAGCACCTGCTTCATGCAACTTACCTTGCTCAGCGAGCCGGGTTTCATTGAGCGTCGCAATATGGATGTTGTAGCGCGCCAGTGCTATCGCGACCAGTGCAGTGCGTAGCTCGGGGCGCTCAGTCGAGTTCCGGTCCGGTAGTGTGCGCACGTTCCAGCACCCGATGCTGAGTGCTTTGCGCGTAGGCATACGATTGCATTGGTGGGCAATCGCACGCGATGTGGCGGTTGCGCTTCGGAGGTTAGTTTGAGGGACTCCACCCGGAGTCTTTGGTACAATAGCCTGACCCACAAGGCAGTGGGTGATTTGGAGGTTTGCTTGAGGGACCCCGCCCGGAGTCTGGTTTAATAGCCTGATTCACAAGGCAATGAGGAGCAGATCCAGCTCGGGAATGTGATTGCAGAGACAGATTGGGATCTTCTTGGCGGCCGTTACACACAGCCTTTGAGGTACTGGAAAGTTTCATATTTGTTTTGCGACCGTAGTAAAATACGCACCTACGACCACGGCCAGACGCAGGTGGGTTTTGGCGGGTTTGCACCAATTTGACCAGGGGCTGCATGGCTTGAGGTGGGCAGTAGCAAACCATTGAACACCCGGAGGTGCCCTCCCATCATCGTCTATATGCCAATCGAGCTGTGAGCTTATAACCCGTAGACCTGTTGTCGCCCATGGCTAGGTTTTACGGGAGGAGGGACATAGATCACTTCCTAACCTCCGAAGAGGATGGACTAGGATACTGGCATGGCGCCCACACCAGACAGG